TAAAATTATTCTTTGAAAGATATCTAAATGTATATTATGGTTAGCTATGTATAGTACACACTTTATTATCAAAAACACGTTATAATTTTTGGCAAGTTCCTCAGTGTCTTATTATACATTTGCTCATTTATATTCTCCTTTGTATTCATAACATTGAAAAATCTCAAAGCTTTGTACAGTGCTTTTCAAAATCACAAGAACAAAAACATCCAGTGCATCAGTTAATTAGGTAACTGGAAAAAAAGAGATGTTCTGCCAGTATAATTACAGAAGCTGCAAACATTCCAGTATATAGTATACCAACAGCTTTAGCAACTCAATACAGAGATTTGAGTGTGATAAAGAACAATACCAAATAATAAAAGTATTATAGAAGCAATGAAATAATACTTTTTTTTTCTTCTTTTTTTACAGATGTATACTATTTGATATTTATATAATTATTTTTCTATAATTTGACAATGATATAGAAAATCAGTTTTCCTTTTACCAGTTAAAGGAGAAATACAGTAACAATGTAATGATATTCCTAATTTAATAGACATTCTTTCCTAAACAGTGATAAGTTACTATAATGCTTTCCTTTGATGTAGTTGAAGAAAAATTAAGAATGAAATCTACTTCAACGTGTAGGTTGTAACAGTACTTGCATATTGCTGGTAAAAACATGGTGAAGGTATTGAAAGCAGCAGTTAGAGAAAAGTGACAAATCAGTCCCTAATATATTATTCACCTGTGTATGTAAGTATAAAATGAAATGAGTTGAGTTGATTCAGGTACAAATGAATTTGTCTGGGTATAGAAACTTGTAAAAGCTATTTCTAAAATGTTTAGGGTGATATTACACACGTAGTTGATTGATATTTTAGGTATGGTGAGTATCCTCAACTATGTGGACTGTTACACAAGTATATTCGGACATCAGATCAACTGTTGGTTGTAGGTTGTGGAAATTCTAGCCTGAGTGCAGATTTGTATGATGCTGGTTTTCATCAAAACATCAGTATTGACATCAGTGATGTTGTGATTCACCAGATGATTGAAAAATTTGCTGAAGGTAGACCAGGAATGGAGTATCAAAAAATGGACATGTTGGAAGTAAGATTTAGTTTAAATGTTGATGGTACATTTTAACAAATTCTTTGAATATTAGTCAATTTTTTTTAGAAGGCCCATGTCAGTAAGCAAGAATTTTTCTTGAATTTTGTTTTTATAAGCTAAGAGTTAAGTTTTACAATTTTTTCATATACACTTTGTTACTAAAAGTATTGGGGCAGCAGACCTTTTAGGTAATGATTTTTGTCTCCTGCAAACTTCTTTGTGAATCTCACAGTACTTTGCTGCATGGGGCTTAGTAAATTCATCAACTGCCACAGCCAACTAGTTGATTTCAGTGATCAATGGTAAAAGCTTAAGAATGTTTAAAAAAAAAGACAAATGGTTATTGAATATATCCAAGGCATTTTTAATCCATGTACATGCACTCGTACTCAAATTCACAGTTGGTACTTTACTGAAAAGTTTTTAAACCAGTGGAAATGCTAATTGTGAGTATTCATTAGTTGTACAAAAATAATCACTACATGGTTCATGTAAACCAAGAAACATATGAAACAAAACCAAAGATCTTACATTTCCACTCAATACTTTCATGAGAATTAAGAAATGTAGATCAATACATCTTTTTTTGTACAGAAAGCCCCATGCTGCTATATTTCACAAATGAGGCTATAGCTTTATATATCATTAATCATAACAGTAAGATATCACTTCTCATTGATTGTGACTTAGACATTTTAAAGTACCATCTGAGGGATAGAAAGTGACAATATCTAAATAAATTTATATTTTGTATTAATGAGCTACTCGAGTAGTATGGTTCACTACTCCATCAGAATTACTTCATCAACACTACTTGGAGGTACATGATGTCCTGCCAAGCATCTCCCTAGAGTAGTGTCTGAAATAGTGGTTTCAGTTCTCTGAGACAACCAGAATTATCACCAAACAACTCCAATGCACTACTTTGTTGTCTATAGGACAATGTCAACATGGCCTGATCTCATGGCAGTCTAGGCATCTAGCCTGTATTGGCGCATTCAGAGTACTATATAAGTTACGAGTAGTATGTTTATGCATATCATGTTTTGATTTCCATATGATCATGATCATCAAGACTGCACACACTGTTTACCAATAAGAGTGTTCATAATAACATCTTACAAACCTTTCACAACTTACAACTAATAACAGATTGCCACTCAAAATATTTTGATAATACCACATTTCCCATTTACATTTTGCATATTTTGGTACATCATACTTAAATACCATTTTTGATGTAAGTTGTGGATCTGGGATGGCTAATTAAGCTTTGCTTTTTTGCTTTAACTTTGTGTCAGAGATGAGCAATCAAAACAAAGGTGGCACAAAGTCTTCAAAAAGAGAAACCAATTATGAATGTAATTGAAACAAATGCAAAATAGTGTTCCAAAATTCCTGGCAAAATGGCTGTTCATGGTTAAGTATGATGAAAAGAGAGGAGTCAGGTTCTGCTCATGAAGTTCTTTGATAAAATCATGATTTTCTATCAGGTGGTGATTTTCTAGTGTGATATTTGATTTAGCAATGTAACACCAAGTTTGTTATTTTTGTTAGTCAACTAAGTTGTTCATTCATATGTGGACAACTATAGTTAATTGCAGACAACCATAATTGGCCCATACATTGTCTACTGGACAACCCAATATGTTAGTCTTATTTCGAGCACTGTTCAAGAGCATCTATTATGTAGTCAGTCAGATTTAAGTCTATTGAGCATGCTAGCCAGTTCATTCATTTGATACTGTCTCATTCCAAGGAGTTGCTAAACATTTCAGGGTAATGAAGGTGTGTGTTATTGTTCATCAGAAGATAGTTCTAACTAATTACATCTGCATATGACAAAACTAGTAGTGGAAGGCTGTATTTCTTTGTTGTGTGTCATTCATAGTGTCATGTCATAGCACATAAAGGTCAGCTTGGACACCAGTACTGATCCCTTTCCTAGCTAGAATGCTATAACTTACATATATATGTATCTTTCCTCCCTGAAATAGGGGCTGAATCTGCTCCTGAACACTCTCCAAATGTGCATACATCCCATATTTAGTTGTTATATAAAGTGTGTTTCATTTAGAGTAAGACACTTGTGCACATGTCATTTGACCAATTTACATGTTCTTGACACTACTGAAATTTGTGACCTTTGTTTTTGGGCATGAGAGAGAGGACCTATGCCATTGGTTTCATGGCACAAAGACCAACCCTTATGAAACATTTTTGTGAGCTTTTGCATGGTGGTTTGCCATCCAGTTGTTGCTAAGACCTGTTGATACAGTTGTGAAGCTTAGGCCTGCCATTTGTTTCAGACCATATTGTCAAATAGTAGTCATCTTGTAGAGTTGTCAATAGTAGCCTACCATGTCCAGGTTTCTGGCCAACTGCATTGGTGGTTTGAAAGTAATTTCAAATCATACAAATAAAGTTTGTTGTTTGACCAACTTCCAGTCAACCTATTGTGTTCTAAATCACAGAAATGCCAAAATGACTTTTTTGTGGTTTTAATGGGTTTTATTATCACTTTAGATACATTTACTCACTCTGCTGTCATTTAAATTGTTAACTGAAAGTACACTGTGTTTCCTTTAATTTTATATGCAATTAAATGTGCATGTCAGATTATATGGCAGGCTAACTGCCATTTGTTTTTACATAAAAATGAACTTTTAGAATTATTTGATAACAGTAGTTGTGCCTTGTCACAGTTAGATGTAAATTAAAGAAAACTGATACTCCCTTAATTGTTTGAGCAGTGTATATTATGAACATTGCACTTATGGATATGATATTTTCCTGGTAAAAATGTACATCCAGAATTACTGTATATGTTGTGTGCATATGTTTTCTAAATTCTCAAATAGAACACTAAAAATGTTATGAATCCTAATTTACTGTGACTTTTTGTAGGGCTAAGTAATCAGACCCATTAAATTATTTTGATGTTAGGATTATGAATGTTGACTTCTGATCATGTTTTTAATCATTAATCTCACAAAGAATTTTGTAATCAAATATTTATCAATAGTATCTAGTTTGGTGCTTGAACTATTTTAAATTTTTAAGCTGATACCCGTTGATATATTTAATTGAAATTGTGATTTTTGCAGATGACTTTCAAAGATGGTGAATTTGCTGTGGTCCTAGACAAAGGTACTCTGGATGCATTGATGACAGATGGTTCAGAGGAAACAGTTCAGAAAATAGAAAAAATGTTTGGTGAAATTAAAAGAATACTTCGTTTAGGTGGCCGTTATATCTGCATATCATTACTTCAGGAACATATATTGGAGAAGTTACTCTCCTGGTTTACTGATGAGTAGGTTTTTTGTTTATTGCTTATCTACTCTGGTGTTATTAACACACTACTGTAGCCAGACTACTAAGATCTGATTTCTAATAAAATGAGAAACATGGCTGGATTTATATTAAACTCATTTAACTCGTCCATTTAATTCATATGCCTCTACTGAGCATATACATATTTGTACATTTGAGTGGCAGTTTTATCCTGTATAGGAAAACCAGTTTTTGTTATTAGTTGCTGTGCTTTGAATATATTTTTTATACCTTGAACAACAACCAATAAGTAAGTGTCCTTTTTAGATTTAACAATAATAATTTTTTCCTTCAAATTTTTTAGTGACACCAAGCTGTTTTTTTCCTTCTTGTAACTCAAGCTAAACAAATAAATTGGTTGAATTTTAAACAGATTATTTGGAAAGTTTTTTTTATAAGTCTTTCAATAACTGTTGGTACTCTGTTTATTTCAGTCTTTTATTACTTGGCACACATTCTAATAAAGATGGTAAAGTAAAACCCTTTAGAAACTGCTTCATCACTTTAGAGTGTGAAAAATAAGGTACTTATAGGTGTGATTTTAATTTATATAATTAAGGCTAATGAGGATAACTGATTAGTAGTTTTAGTAGGTGAACAATACTTTGATGAAGTTTGATAAAGCCTATTAGAATATAAAGTAAACACATTCATTAGTGCTCTGCTCAGTAAATATTTAATTTGACTTTTATATAATACATTATGTTTATGAAAATTGTTTACAGTTAGTAACCATCAATCATCTAGCATTATAAGTATTTTGGAATAGGTATGAAATTCAGTTATGTAGCTTGATGAAACTTCTATTTTCTGAGATTATCTATGTTAAATGAAGTGTTACTTTTGCATGCAATAGTAGGTATAATGTGCAAATAAATTATTGAAAGTAAGTTAACACCATTCATATTTTATTGGTTTTAAAATCAAGAGTTTTACCCATTTTTCCAAAGCATTGTTTGGATTTTAGAACATTTTTGACTCCATTGAACCATGTCCTAACATTTATATTCATTATTTTGAGATGCTAAATGATGTATATAGTGGGAAAATGCTATTTTAAGTGGCATTTCTGTTGTAAACATGGCATACTTCATCTTTTTTTTAATATATTTTAAATTTTGTGTATCATTATAATATTTGCTTTTAAGTTGGATTAGAGAATACAAACTTCTTTATAATGATTTAGGCTGTGTTTTCCTGATGAGAGAAGGTTTATTATGAACTTTCAACAGTCTTGGATACAATGGATACTCTGAATGAGAGAGTTGGTGAGTGACTATGTTTCAGCCAACTTCTATAATCCATCTTCAGGTCTTCTGGTACCAAGAGTACCAAGATGGTTAGCACAGATGTCACAACAACATGAACCCCAGTGAGAGCTCGATGATGTGGACCTCGATGAGAGCATGATGAGTGTGTCGTGCTAAATACACCAACCATCTTAATACAAGTATACCTGCAGACTGGTTATAAAAGTTCCCTGAAACAATCATTGCCGATGATTCTCTCATCCAGAGGATTGAATGTATTGAAAACTGTTGGAGACCATAATCAACTTTCTTTTACTTGATAATTATCATAAAAGATCAGTTCCTTTAATATACAAATCTCACTTGTATCTGCCAACTTAAAGCTGCATTACTGAAGTTGCATGAATCATGCTTAGACATACTCATTGACCAAACATATAATTACTAATTTGAAAACAAATATATGTGCACAGATGGGGAGGTGAGTCAAAGTGTGCATGCCACAACCCTGTACAGAGTGCCATTTTACATGATATTATGCATTTGATGTCAGAGTTATCAGTTTCTTGTTAAACTAAACTGCTGATTTTGTGTTAGAGTAGAGAAAATACTAGGTATACAGGGATAGAGAAAAAATTAAGATATGCATTTAGGAGGTTATAGATGTTATCAAATGCACTTGTATAGCATGTAAGTGTTTCAATTCATTAGCTCTTTAGATCCACACAGAATATTAATACACAAAACATGAGTGCACTTATAATTTTATAAGTAGTTGTATATGTACAATGGTGCACATTCTACATTACAGATTAATAGATATTGCAAATTGATAAATTAATACAAGCTAGCTACTTATCTATGTTAATGTCATGTCAATGACTACATAGAAAAGGGGAAAAAAAGTAAAAATAAGAAAGTAATTTTGTAAAGTATGTATATAGCTGTAGGGAAAATATTCATTTTAGCTAAATGTAAGTATTACATTTGTTCAATGGCAGTCCATACTGGCTTATTATTAAGGTGAAGGATGTATAATGCTAAAATCTGGGGTTTGATTCTCTCAGTGGACACAGCACAGATAGCCCATTATATAGCTTTGCTCTTAAAAACGACTTTTTTTTTTTCTGTTAGGGGTTGGATAGTTCGTATTCATCGATGTACAGATGCAGAAGAAGAATCTAATGAAGATCAGTCATCTGTGATATTTCCTGTTTTTATGGTGGTGTGTACTAAGTTCAAGAAACTCCCTGGAACACAAAGTGTAAGAGTTAATTTTTAATGCTTGTGTATGGGATTGATTTGGTGGATCAGTATGGGCATTCATTAACATATAGTCATAATGATATCATTCTTTTAAGGAAAATGTTTCTTGTGTGATAATTAATGTTGCAATTCTTTATGTTTCATAACACCTTGAAATTGGCAAAAACTTATCATAAAAAAATAATTAATGAGTGAAGTAATTTTTATGTCATCCAAAAAATTAATTATAAGTTACTGGCAATTTTTTTTCTAAGTCAAAATTTTATAAAATCCTGCTGCTGCTTTTGTTGTTAGGGCTTATAGAGTGTTATTGGTTATAACCACAAATTGATAATAAAATCTACTGTTTAATAATTACCTTGAGTTTATGTTGAAGGTAAAAGTATATAGTATTATCACATATATCAATACTGTTGGAAACAGGAACTCTGAAGGAAAATTCACCTACTCAAACTGATTAAAAGGTGACAACAAAGAAAACATTTCCTCAAACTTATCCCAAATCTTTATTGGGTTAAGAACTAGATGTGAATTGATTGGTCTGATATCCTCTGGAGGGTATTTTGAAAACTGAGGTTAAATAATTAGGCTTCAAAATGAGTAATAACTTACTTTTCCAAAACATTCTTACCTCCACTGACACTATAGCTATTTCTCGATCTCCAAGTTTTCCACTCTTTGCCCATCTAAGCTTTGAAAACACTTGCTCCAGTCTTTTATACCCCACACGAATGACATTGTCAAATTCAGATTTTCAAAATTCTCCACCAACTTCAATGTGCTCTCTTTCTAGAGATATAATTCTCTTTCTGTATATAAGCACCTCATTCAAATAATGTAATCACTTTTTCTTGACAAAGCATTCAGCATGGGTTTCTATAAACAGGAGTGTTGTGATTATTCACAATTTACATTGAGACTTTGAATGTGTTTGGCAGTACTATGGTTATATCTTCATTTATATTTATAAATTACTTTTAAAATGAAAAACATACCGATGGGTATGAATTCCCAAGTTAATACTTCTACTACGAAGGCCAACCAGACCTCTTTTCTTCCACATCTGCTATCTGGTGTTTATCAATGGCCAGGGAAGGGGTCACTCTCAGTTGAAGCTGTCCGTGATATGATCCGTTGTGAGATGGAGACGTATATGTGGACCGAGGGTGTCTCTTCGGGGGTTCTGAGGTGGCTTTTGCAAATTATCCGGGCCCAGCTGGGGAGAATTTAGATTTGCTATTTCCAGCTTCTTCTTTTACTAGATTGGCCTCAACAGAGGATCATCTTGATCAGCCACCTCCAACCCCTTTTTTCAGTTGGTTACTCAGGTTTTGGGGGTCTCTTCTATTGCATTTGACTCTACTCCTTCCTTGTTGGCAAAAATAATGGCAATTGACTACTTGGGTTTTCCTCCTTCTATTGATATTGCTGTTCATGCCCAGTTATGCAATGGGATAGTTATGTCTTGTCCCCCACATTTATTGTAACAGCATTATTTGGCTTATCACCACCAGAAGGAGGTATATTTTGATTCTTAATCGATGGACCCCATTTTGGACCTGTGGGGGTCTAGATTGGAACCTGTGATCACTTTAAACAGATCAGAGTTTTTTCAGATTTGTCTTACTCTCAAGACTGTCCTGAGGTATTTATCTTTGATCCAACTTTTGTCGGAAGCCTATCAACGTTACCCTCAGCAATTTGAGGATGAGTTGGGGATTTTGCTGAAGTCTACCTCAGTCAGATTGTCTTCTTCAGTTCTTTCTCTGGTTTTATGGCTGGTTTGTTGTTGGAATTTATTGGGTAGAGATGCTTTGTTAGAAAGTGTTTGTTTAAAATCTTCTGTCCTTAGGGAGTTACGGGAAGCTCCTTTTCTCTGTCCCATTTGTTTCAGCTCTTTTACATTCTTCTTTATTGTCTTTGGCTTCTCACCTTTATGGCACTAATTTGGGATTGTTGGCTTGTAGTGTTTTCCAATCCCCCCTTCATTTCCCAGTTCTATTGATTCCCATAATAATCCATATTCTCAAGGATATTCGGCTCAGACGGACCTTCGACAACGGCATCGGAGACTATCCCACGGGTGGGTAAATAGTGGAAACACGGTTACATCACTTTCTGGACATCTGGAGTTCTTTCACCGGAAATCCATGGGTACTCCATGTTCTTGTTTCAGGGTTGGTCATTCAGTTTACATCACCTCCACCATTATCTGCATAAATTGTTGCATTTTCACCTCCAACAGATCCAAGGTGAGTGGAGCTTCGTTCCCAGACCATAAGAGAGTTGTTAGTCAAAAGGGCCATAGAGAGGGTCAATCCCATTTTTCTGGAATTTTATTCCTGTTTATTCGTTGTACCCAAGAAGACAGGAGATTGGTGTCCAATCATCAATCTGTCACGACTCAACCAATTTTTAGACCCTTCTCACTTTACAATGGAATCTTTTCTCAACCTATGTTGGCATTTATTGCAAGGGCTTTGGATGACCAAGTCTGATGTTACCAATGCTTATCTCCATATTCTCATAGTGGAATCTTCCCAATGGTTTTTCAGATTTGTGCACAAGGGTCAGGTGCTGCAGTTCAGGGCTCTAACTTTTGGTCTTGCACCAGTACTTTATGTCATCTGCATTCCTTGGGCCTGTACACACATCTTTATATGGATGACTGGCTCCTTCTGGCACCATCCCGTCAATTAGCAGAACAACACTCTCAAATTCACTTTTCAGAAGCCACAAAAGCAGGCTTCCTTGTCAGACTAGAGAAATCTGTTCTGTCACCGAAGGAATAGTTCCTCCATCTGGGTGTGTTTCAATACTCACTTAAGTCCCGCTCAACCAACCCCTATCAGGCTTCAAGCCATGGTAAGAGCCATCAGGCTTTTACTTATGTCTCTTTCTCCTACTGTGCAGATGGTTCTCTCTTTTGGGGAATGTGGGCATCTCATGAGCTTCTCATTCCTTTGGGACAAGCACATATCTGTTTACAGATGCATCACTTCAGGGATGGGGAACTTATCTTCAAGGTAAGGAGTTCCAGGGTATTTGGATGGAAGATGAGTCTATCCTCCATATCAACATTCTCAAACTCCTTGCAGTACACCAGGCAATGGTTCGAGGTCTGTCCCTCTTGAAGGAAAAAATTGTCACGATACATTCCGACAATTCCACGGTAGTATCTCAGATTTCTCGTCAAGGAGGCAAACATTCTCGACACCTTTGTTTTAATACTTTGGATCTTCTTTACTAGGCTTATTTCCATTGTATCAGTCTTTTAGCATGTCATGTTCCAAGAGTAATGAATTTAATTGCAGATCACTTGTTTTGAACCAACTGGATTCTTTAGATGAAATGGATGCTATATCACACGGTTTTTTTTTCAGTAAATTTGCTCTCAGTTTGTATATCCAATGATTGATGCCTTTGCAACTCATTGGAATTCTCAACTGCAGTTGTTTTGGTCTCTGATACCTCATCCTCAAGTGTTGGCAGTAGATGCATTCAGTCAGGACTGTACAGGTTTACGTCTGTATGCCTTTCCCCTGATTCTGCTCTTTCTCCGGGTTCTGACTATGGTTTGTTCTACTCCCTGTCGATTTCTCTTGGTTGAACCATATTGGCCAGCTCAAACGTGGTTTCTGCTTCTTCAGTATCTTCAGGAATGTCCACCTCTTCCACATATGCAGTCTCTGTTGAGACAACCTCGGTCAGATATTCTCCACCCAGAAACTCAATCTTCATGCTTGGAATTTATGTGGTCCTTTGTCCGACATAAGGATTTAACTGCTAAGGTTTCTCTGTATTTAACTAAATCTCTCCAAAGGCCAACCATGGCTGTTTATCAAGGGAAATGGAATACTTTCATCAGTGGTGTATTCAAAAGAATTTAAACCCTCTTCATACTAAAGTATCTCATTTTATGACTTGGGTATTTGAAAGGGGTCTTGCTTCATCTATGGTGGCTTTAAATAAGGCATTCTTATCCACTATTTTTCGGTATTCCAAATATTGGAAGGTTTTGAATCCTTAGTATAATTGGGTCCATTCAAATCCTATTGTATTCTTTGACCCAAACAACCTTTTCAATTACTGAATTGGGATTTTACAGTTGTTTTACATGCATTGTCTCATCCTCCCTTTGAGCCCTTAGCTTCATGTTCTTTGTTTTAGCTTTCTCTTAAATTGTATTTTTTTCTTGTTGTTGTTGGCTTGTGGACATCGTTAGTCGGAGTTGTTTGCAATCCATGTGCATCGGACTCTTTATCATTCCAGATTTGTCCTACTTTACCTCGATAGGTCTTTTCTTCCCAAGGTTCTGGCAGCCAGGGAAGGGAAAAGATCCTTCTCACCAATCCATTTGCCAGCCATTTCTCATCTTTATGGCTGCACCGATCCTGCTCATTTGTTATGTCCTGTTAGGGCCCTCAAGTGTTATGTGGCTTGTACTAACTCATTTGAGGTAGTAGGAAATAATTGTTCATTCAATCAAATCTTTCTATTTTCCATGAGTTATTTCCCATTACTGTAACGAGGGGCTTCATAAATTGATTCACACGGCCTATAATAGATTATCGTTACAGGAGAGGAATCCTTTGCATGTCACATCTCACAAGATTCGTCATATCTCTATGTCATTAGCTGCCCAGATGAATTGCCCTCTGGAAGACATTGTGTGGGCTGATATGTGGACTGCTCCTAATACTTTCCTATCTCATTACTTACATGATCTGGCAGTTTCCACTTCTGAGGGTTTTTGACTACCTTTTGTAGCTATTTTGACCATATCTGTTAGATTTTAACCAGAGATGAGTATTTTCCTTAATCTTAAACTCTTTTATTTCCAGTGTCCCTTTATTTTTCACTGGATCCCACTCTGTGGTGAGTGTTGCCCAGGTAGGTATGCATTCTGTTTTCAATGCCACACTAGAAACCACTTTTACTATTAATACTACAGGTTTCAACAGGCTCTATTGACATGAGGTGTTCCATAAGACCATCTAGGCACCTACTGGATGGTATTACCTTATTATTATGGACTGCCACTCATGGACTATCATGGACTAAAGGGGATCCTGCCCATTCTTGCCAATCTTCAGGTTGAATAAATCAGGGTTTGTTCCATTTTAAAAATGTGGGGAACTTGGTTCATCTGTTGCACAGTTTCCAGAACACTGTTCCTCAGTACTCCCCAATGTGTATTATCCCCCCATACTCTACTAGTGGAGTTCGGGAGTCCTTACCACCCTTAGTTTCCAGTTGCTGGGGATGCTGGACAGAGGCTTTTCCTCCACTCTTGGAGAAGAGGTTGGGGGCCCTCCTACTCAGATCCCTGGATTTCAGTAGGAGTGGCACCATCTTCCACGGGAACTTACTTGTAATTCCAGTTCAGATTTGACATGAAGCTATCCAGTTGGGGGATGCATGGCCCTTCTCTTTGATCAATGTCGGTTTCGTATATTGTTCATGGATGTAGGTCCACTATCTCCTCATAATTCCAAAAAGAAAGTGGTCCCATCCTAGGTCCTTGGTTGAGCACAAGTTCCACATCCTCTCCATAATTCCAGGGGCAAGCAGAATACTCCTTGCCCACTTGGTTGGGAGTGAGGATGAATGTTCTAATTCAAGACCAGATGAGTTCTGTTCCTTTGGTTGAGTATGTCATACACAATCCTGTCATTCTGAGCCTGGGGTGTTGCCTTTTGGACTTTTTCAGGTGGAACAGAAAGTTTGTCCACTTCGGTGTTGCTTGCTTACTAATTGTGATCCCGGTGGTTGGAAATGCATCACCCTATGGTTACAGGTTGGGATCCAATCTAAAGTATATATATATATATATATATATATAAAAGTGCAGTCCAATAGCCCTAGCCATCAACGTGGGATATAGGTAACACGATCCCTTAATTCCAATCCCGAGTTGTGGAACCTCGGCTAACTGGTTGGGGCTGGCCTTTGATATAAGAACTGAGTTCCAGGTGAAGAGCATACCTGTTCTGAATGTAGTGCGGTTCCCCACTCTTGTACCATCTTTCTCTTGGTACACATCTGTTCTATACAGATGCTTTCTGTATGGTTCATGCCTGCACTGGTCCCTCCACCTTCTCAATGTGGGATTCTAGCTATAGTGTCGGTGGAGGTAAGTATGTTTTGGAAGTTAACATTACCCCTGCTGACACTCTCCATCCTTCTCTCCCCACTAAAAGCTGGTTTATTTCTCGAAAAACTGATTACATTGTCTGAATGAGGTGCTTATATACAGTACCTAGATAGAGAGCCCATTGAAGTTGGTAGAGAATTCTGTAAATTAGAATTTGCCAAGTGCATTCGAGTGGGGTATAAAAGACTAGAGCAAATGTTTTCAATGCTTAGATGGGCAAAGAGTGGAAACCCTTGAGCTTGAGAAATAACTATAGTGTCAGCAGAGGTAAGCATTACTGGAAATACATTTTCAGTTTAGGAAAATGTTAATTTTCAAGTTATTTGCATACAGAGCTATGATCAGTAGACAAATGTTGTTCATGATTACAGGAAAGAATTTAAGATATTAAGGAAAGCTTTCTGGAAGTAAAAAGAAGTGGCAGATCAAGTTTGCATGCTTCTGTAGTTTAGATTGAGTTTCTTTATTCACATTTATAAAAAGTAAGAGTATTGTAAAACCTGCATGCATACAGAACCTTACAGTTACCATGTGCTTTCAGATTGGACTTATGACAGATTTAACAATGTACCCTTTTTTTCATTTGTAATTTATGAAGCATGGACATCTTGAATATTTTACTCTATGTAATTACCAGATATTTTCTTTATTCTAAGTAATGTTGGTAGGTATGTTTGCTTTAAAATATACAGTGTGTGTACAATGTGTTATTTAATTATATGAAAATATAGACACATATTCTAGATTATCTGATTAAAACTTTTTGTTTTATAAAGGAATGATGTATAAAGAAATGGTTTAATTCTATTATCATATGATGTGAAAACATATTTATTAGTTATATATGGCTCTCTGTCTTTTGTCTTTGGAACAATTTATTTTATCTGTAAAGAAAATGGATTACTTCAACCTTAAAATCCACGACACTGCTAAATTAAGTACTTTGATATTTGCTGTCTTAGTATGATCTATATGTAGAAAAAGACAATTCCAATAAATAGCAAAAATATTCAGTGAAAAAATAGATAACAAGTACAAAATTCAAGTACAGTGAATTTCCAGGTGCAAACAAAGTCCTTCAATTGCTTGCCAATTTATATTTTGTATATTATAAACATTTCCCACAACAATAAGAATAACAAAAACAATGTCCATTTTCAATATTTACATACTTAATTAGCCAGAATATTTTTTACTTGTTTACACGGAGAAAACAGGAGTATCCTTAGCACTGTAGGAGGCTGAAGTTTGACCCCATTCTCAACACTAAATAAGTTTTTTTCCCCCAATTTTCCATCCTAAGCATTCCCAATTTACTAGAAACAAATAATTGGAACCAACTCTAAAAAACTAACAAAGTGCAAAGTTTAAGAAATATTAGTATATAATTAAGTAGTTTGTGATATTTAAATGTACTTTTTTTGGGGGGGGGGGTTACAATACAAAACTTCAAAATTGGAAAGGCCCAGCATTCATTCCAAAAGTACATACAAAAATCCATGAAAAGTAGGAATAATTCCGTACATCAAAGAAGTATAGCGGTCAGACAGTTTCCTTATTGTGACAATATCTTAAATTTCTCATTAAACTTGATTCTGTTTATAGAGTCACAGAAGCATTGAATGATTTTCTAGTTTTTAAAAAGTAACATCTTTCAAGATAATTTGAACATCTAAACAGAAAAAGTACTACTTATTTACATAGTTAAAATGCAACAGAAAATATAGACATTTAACCAGTTATGGATCAGAATTTTAAGGATATGTTAAACATCTTGTTTTGGAGTATTTAGCTTAAGAATTCATAGATCAGTGATTTTATGTTTATAAGTTAATAGCTCTTAAAAAATTAATAGGCAGTTATTTAAAATAACTAATTACAAAATTAATATTTTTTTTTTCATATTCAAACAGGTGCTTGAGTTGTGTTTGAGTGAAGATGGATCACCTGTTCGATTAGAATCCCCAGATGCTGTGATAAAATCTGTTCAGTCTTTACAACACTATGCTTTTCTTCGTTCCAAACTATCATCTAAGTAAGCTAATCTTGTATTCTATGCTATTATTAAACCTCTTGATATCAGTTAAGTTGATTTATAAGATGCTTTTGTTCTCACTGCAAAAACTAGCAATTCAGACTTTGTACCAAAAATTAACCAAAAGAAAACATGATGTAATGAGAAATGATGTATTATAAATAGCATAAGTCTTATATAATGTTATTTATATATAAGTTACTCTAAACATATGTTATTAAACACAAAAATTACAAAATATGTTACTTTTCAGTGGAAATTATTCTCTTTTTTTAACATGTTCATGTAGTTCACATTTATTCTTTTATTAAGCATTTTGAATTTGTAGTTTATGCTTTAGCTATAGTTAAACTAAAGAGAAAGAACATGTAAAAAAACATTATCAAGACTAGACCATAGTACCTTGGAAACTGACTTTCATAGCTTTGTCTTAAAATGATTACAAATTATATTTATGTTAACATCTAATCAAAACCAAGCTACCTACGTCCCATATAGATCAGAACTAAAAATTGACATAATAATTAATATACCTAATTTAATATACTGTTCATGCATTCTTAGTAATAATGACAGAATGCATTGTTTTATCAGCTGAGTACCTTCCTCACTTTTAGTGATATTTTGACCGTAATCTCACAAGTATCTCATGAGTTTTGACTAGATAAGAAGGTTTAGGATAGTCCTAAACCCAGGTAATAAAGTAAGAGTGCACAAAAATCCTTATAATAAAAATATCGATATAATAATACAGTATGAAAAATTATAAGAATATATATTGTAACCAAAAATACTAATAAAGTAACATTAAAGAAACAGAAAGTATAACTTACTTACAGAATACATGAAAACTAGTTGTTTGCTTCATTATCATTGATTTCTTGTCAAAAAAAAAGAAATAATTTACTTAACATACTGGTATTAAAAATACAATAAATAGTATATACTTTACCTCTGTTTTTGTTTCCATAGTCTAGTTTTCAAAATGAGATGTGAGCTAATACTCTTTTTTTATTATCAATTGAACACAACTTGCCTGAAAATGATTAAAACAATTTTTACAAATGTTATAAACATGGTGTATGAAAATTATTAGTTATAAAGACTCAACGTGTTTGTTCCTTTTCAACTATAGTATCCATAATAACTACCATTTTTCTTGCATTCTAAAACTTCACACAAAATGTCAGAGTTGCAGTGATCCTATTTTTATGCTAATGATGAACATATTTATCATTTGCAATTTCTTGTTTTGAGTTATTCGTATATGTATGTAAGTATTACACTTGTTGCAGGGGCAGCTCTTTGTAAAATTTTCCAATTAAAAAAGACATTGATGTTGCCCTGTAAAGATTATAGCTTCAGTTTAATGATGGTAGTTTTTTTTCATTATAAATAATACCCTTAGCCAGTTTTTTGTTTTCAGTTACTTCTAAAATTTAATAAAAGCATGCTAACTATACTGTATATATATCCTATAGTTTAATAGCATTCTAAAGAGAGGAACTAGTGTTTCAGCTTTATTAAAGAAAGTGTATTTTTCAAATCAAGCTTGATGATCAAACCTTTTTCTTATGTAGACAGCGTGGAGAAGTTACAGTGGATTTATATGATCCACAAAGCGACTCTCCTCGATATAGTTTGTTTGTGGTGGATAGAAGAAAAGCATCATCTTTAAAGTTTGCTATTTTCATTGTTCCTCAAGGTAGGTAGGTATCATTGTATAAGGTAGGTTTGATTAACTGATTTATGTTTTTACTGTAATAATGTTTTCAATTTCTTTGTATGAAAACTAGGCTGCACTGATGATATTGTTAACTTTGAAAACTAGTTATGAGATCAACAAGATGTATGAAATTTCTTTAGCTGCTTTTACTGTCATGGTCATGAAAATGGCCAGCTTCTTCATAATTTATTAATTAGTAGGAAAAAACATTATTAGTAATCCTATAAAACCTATTAATCCTTTAGATACTGTAAGTTGTGAAATCATGATTTCTTTTAAAATAATGTGTGATGAAATATCACAGTAATGCTTGTTTTGATTTTAAATGCTTTTCCTTTGTCAACAAAACAAAATCTTGTTCAATGAAACAAAAATCCTGCAATGAACATGAAGCATCAAGAATAATATTGTTGGTTTACAAAGTATTTGGAAGAAATCTTTTGATTCAAACTTAATGAAAGTGAAAAAATTTAAATACTTGTAAAAGGGAAAAAAAAAAACATTTGTAATTGTAAGACTTTTTCATAAGTTTCTTACAGAGGAAAACATAATTCTACCACAAAAATGGTTGTCTTTGTAAACATTATTTTAAAAAGATTATTAAAACTTTATCTTTTTGAACTTTTACTTAAAATTATAAGTACTTGTCTATTCCTGCTCGTTGTGTAATAATTTTTCTAGTTTTATTGAAGTTATTACGAAAGAAGTCATAAAGTTGAGACCTTGACTCTAAGAAACATTTGTGTATTCAGAAACATGGGACTAAGAAATATTTTTTGTATGAAGTGTTCACTCGTTTCTTTTAGGGAAAGTGAGTGGTTATTTGGCACACCATCAGGAAGACAGCATCTTGCTCAGAATGCCGATGCTAATCGATTAGTTGTTGTCCATTTAACTAGAAATCACAGCTATAACAGTTTAGAGGACGTGAAAGCAGAACTGTCAAGTAAAGTCATGGAATTGGCTCCAGCTAAGCTTGATCCGAAACTCCAAGTACAGTAAAGTGTTGTCAGTTATTATTAGATATATAAAGTCTGCATAAAGTTCTTCACTCTAAGTTGCCTTTATGTAATTGTTTATCATACACTTGAATGTTCTGAGACTATATTTTTAACTTATTTGTATCATCCTTCAAACAAAATCTAACCTAACAGAACAAGGTCTGAATTTATTATGCCAGCAGTTCCCGAAATTGTACAAGTGCAGAGCAAGATACAGTAAAACATGAATTTTTTTTAGATTATATATAAAATAACGATCCAAAATTGTTTTTAAACAGACAAAAATATAATTTATCTCTTAGACTGTACTGAAATTCATTAGAAGAATAACACTCTCCTCCCTGTGTTGAGTATGGATTCTAAAAAATTGCATAGATATTTAGGTATTTATGAATTGAGAAAATTTGAAAAGCCATGCATTATAAAAATTAAATCTCTCTCTCTTTGGTCATCTTTTCAAAAGAAAGTAATAGTTGAGATTTAGCCTGATACATTTTGTTTATTGAAATAGATACTGATTTTAAGATTTTTATTGAAATCTGACTAATGTTGTTGTTTTTTCTTGTAAAAAACAGGTTTTTGGTGATTGTGATGTCTCAGCTTCATCTTCCAAAAAATAATTTTTTTTTCTGTCAATTTCGTATTGATGACATATTATAGATAACAAAATACTCAGAAATAGACCTCTGCTGGACATAAATGGAAGTAAGGTGATTGACATAAATACTACACTTTTAAGTATTTTGTTATATATTTGGTTAATAAAACAAATTTGGCATAAAAGTTTTAAAAAAATACATTATTATCAGTATTGCACAAAAACAAATTTTATTAAACCTATCTAATTATTAGATACCATTTTTGTCTGTGGGAGAAGATGTTGGGAGTAGAGAAATTTGTTATCGTGGTTACAGCATTCACAGTGGAGAATTTTTAATTGAAGATGTCTCAGCAGATGGTGGATTGTACAGAAGACTTATCTTCCTGAACAATCCAAGTGTAATTCAGTCTGAAGCCAAACTGAAACAAAGTGAGTTAGTAAGGTTTTCATCTTAATGTTCAGAGCTGGTCTTTTAAAGCAATGAATTTTCATCAAAATATAGTTTTCCTTTACAGTTGGAAGTAACATGTTATTTATCTTTTTACTGTAATAATATTGCTTTTCTCAATATGTAATATTATAATGTTAAGCTTCTAATGGGAGTAATAATATTAAAGTTACTTTCCACATAAAAGATTCTAGTTCATCTCATTACCTTCTCTCTGTTATAGTCCTGTTTACTGCTATTTTATTTTTTAATGCCAAAGTAAATGTCAAATTCTAAATCTTAAGAAAATAAAATATCCAAACTATATGTCAAATATGATTTCTCTTTAAGTAACTTCCAAGATAATTTTCAGAAAGCAGCTCACAAAATAGTTTTCATGCAAATTTTATTGGCACTGAGGTCGTATTGCCTTTCTTTATCTAGTTAATAGTGTGCATGAATGATCTGCAATTAGATTGATATATATTTAATAAACTAACTTACAGGCATATAGTTAAATAAAATATGGAATATTCACAACATTTGTTTTGTAGAACAAGACAAGAAAAAGATATCTAATGAATAATATGCTACTTATTTTGTTAACAACTAACACTGGTTTGCTTTAGTATGTGTTTTTGCATTTGTTTCAGTAACACAGAAGAAAAAGAAAGGGAAAAAATTATACAAAACTGTGATTGATACAAGCTTCTTATCATGTCAGCATCATGCTTTCATGGTTGCAGGCTTAGGATTCTTGGATCATGATGTCACAGGTAAGTGGTTACAATTTGCATTGTTGAATGCTTCAGTAAAGTTAGTATCTAACTTTGTGTACTGTGTGTGTCTGCTGATTCCAGCATTATGTGGTCAATATATTTAATATTAAAAGATTGAGTAGTTACATGTTAGAGTGGTTTAAAGCACAGGCTCTCATCCCTCCAATTTTGGACTCCTGTCACATCATGTTTACTAGTAAGCAGACCAGATAGCATGGCATCATTCCTAATTTCAAATCACTGACGATGGGGGGAGGCAACAATCTACTCTAGTTTTTTTTTATTTGTTATTTAGTTAATTATTAATTAAGTTATTATTACTTTATTTAATGGACTGGTGATTAAGATATTCAACTCGCAATCTGTGGGTCGCAAGTTCAAATCCTCGTCAACACCGAACATGCTCACCTTTTCAGCCTTGTGTGTGTTATAATGTGACAATCAATCCCACTATTCAGTTGTAAAAGACTTAGCAGTGGATGGTCTTGGCTAAACTATCACTTCAAAAGTAGAGATGGCCAACACAGCTCTTGAGTAGCTTTGCACAACATTCAACAAACAACATTAATTTATTTATTATTGTGCATCATTTTCTTATTCCAAGTTCCTAATGTAAATAAAAGGAGATTACATTTTTAATATAAAGAAGTGAAGACCAAGACTGTTATTAATTACTGTTTCACACTATATCAACAGAGGAAACAAATACAAGCCCATCCTGTCATTTACACTCTGGTGGAATTTGTAATGTAACATGATAAAGTTTGGGCTTGAACCAGATGGACATAGGGGAGGTTTTTCTGTCATGATGTGTACCCAAATAATGTGTAACGTTCTGTTTTCTGTCACTTTAATCTTTGATTTAATTTTCAGCTCAGATAGTTGAATTGTAGAATAGTATTAATGGGCATTTTGGAAATCATAGTAATAAAGATAGTACTCTCACTGCTTGATAATAAATGAGTTGGTAGGTACATTTTACAACTACATAATAAAAGACTAATAAAGATAGTACTCTCACTATTTGATAATAAACAAGTTGGTAGGTACATTTTAACATCACATAATAAAAGATTAATAAAGATAGTACTTTTACTGTATCACACAAAATACAAAAAACTGACCAATATATACTTAGCTGTTGACTACCATAGTTCAATACACTGTAAGTACACTTCTAAACAAATCCTATGGATGTGGTATAACAGTGGCATTTTTTAAATTTTACTCTCACTATTTGATATAAACGAGTTGGTAGGTACATTTTAACATCACATAATAAAAGACTCCTATCTTTATTAGTCTTTTATTATGTAATGGTAAAATGTACCTACCAACTAGCTTATTATCAAATAGTGAGAGTACTATCTTTATTAGTCTTTTATTATGTGATGTTAAAATGTACCTACCAACTCGTTTATTATCAAGCAGTGAAAGTACTATCTTTATTAGTCTTTTATTATGTGATGTTAAAATGTACCTACCAACTCATTTATTATCAAGCAGTGAGAGTACTATCTTTATTAGTCTTTTATTATGTAATTGTAAAATGTACCTACCAACTAGCTTATTATCAACCCTGTCCACATATTACATCATATTGGGTAACTTTGTGTTTTTGCTTATTACAACACTCATTGTAGAGAACTTAAAAAAGATTGGGTTAAATCACTCATTTTCTGTGAAATG